TGTTACGACATTTGTCTCCCCAGACCTGCCGGTCTAACTGTAGCTAACAATTTAAGTGCGGGGTTGTCAATCCCGTATAGATCTATACACAAGTGTCACACTCTCCCTACAAGAGACTTTGGTTAGATTGCAGGTCTTAGTATGTGTACTCTGGTAGGTATGGTGAAGCCAAATGTCTCACAACCAATATCAATCGATTTACGTGAACTTAACAATCCTTTTTCTTGTAAGTGAAATAGTTATACCTTTAAATAATTATAAGTTTCTCCTGAAATAGTAGTGTAATGTTTGTGACTCTTAAACTATACCAGTTACAGTTTATTTTGTTTGTTTGTTGAGACCATTTATATAACCCTTTATATAAATACCTTGTAGTGATCTAGTCTAGTATCAAAATGTAAGTTTAAACATCTTGTTTTTGGATTGTAACCCAAAAATAGTGAAATAATTAGAATGTTTTAACATCCATAAAAATCATACTGATATGCATGATTGTCCTAGTTGCCGATATGCTAGTCTGGTAGATCTATAGGACTACCTGTGATTCTGTCTATATGATTATATGTATATGATTGTTATCTATTATATGTTGACATATTGTGTTGGATTGAGGTTGTACTGCCTCGTGCTGTAGCCAACAAACCTTGAAGCATTCCATATATGAGTTGAGGGCTGGGTAGGGCATGCTAGACTCATGCTAAGGGCTCAGGAGAATTCCAGATACGAGCTGAGGATCGAGTGGTATGCCAGACTCATACTGAGGGTCTGAGGGTATTTCAGTCCGATGACTGATATAGACAGGGAGCAAGCTAGACATAGACTGTGGGCCACGAGGGCAAGCCAGACTTATATTGTGTGCTCAAGGGTAGTCCAGTCTTTTAGCTGTGGACCCAGTACATGTTGTTATTGTATATGTTATCTGTTTATGTGCTGGTACTTTGGGGGTACTCACTAAGATTTGGCTTACGGTCTTTAGTTGTGGTTTTAGGTATTTCGGATGATCGCAGGAAGGCGAAGGCGTGACCGTACACATCTTTTGTTTTATGTACTTTTGATCTACGGGATACTCTGATATGGAACAATACTTTGAAAACAATGATTTTGTAAACATTTTATGATAAGTGGTTGTTTTAAAAAGTTTAAATTTCTTGTGAGTTTTATGGATGTTACATAGTCTCTCAACTTTCTCCTTATATTCATCTCAAATTTTAATGTCATCTAATCAATTATCGCAGAGACAACTGCGCATAAGTTTTAATTTTGTTGAATGTCATGTATTAAGTTGTTGTATATGAAAAATAACAGAAGATCTGTAATGTTTGTTACTGTCTTTATTGATTGTTTTTTGTGGTTGCAGAATGGAGATGGATTTTGCTTCATCGTGATCTTGATTCTCGATTTGTCTGTTCAATACAAATATCGTAAGCTGATCAAGTTTTGTCTGGAAGATTGGAACGCTTGTAAAACGTTCTTCACATTTGAAATAACAGAAGCTTGAGGAAAAAAATGAAGGAATAAAACATACCAGCGGCTCAAAAGATTATCCAAAAATTGCCTTGTACGTCATGTGCACAGAAGTTCGTTGTGGATTGATGATATTGAATGGTATTCTTGAACAATGAATGAGAGGCGTTGAATTGCAGTCTCGCGGCGGGGTGGCAACTTCCGATAATCAAAGAGACAGGTTTAAGCCCTTGTTACAAAGAAGAAGCCCAGTCCCTAAATTGAACCCTAACATGCATCGATTGATGCTTTAGAAGAGAAAGAAATCCAAGGCGTTTGGGGTTGGTAGTTGGTTGCCACCACCAACAGTGGCCTTTGCTTCCTTCATTGATTCTGACATGCTCTCTTTTAGACTTCTTCTCCATCGGATGTACACGAAGACCTTTCGTTCTCCTCTATCGTAGTCTACGAAACCCAGTAGGTTCTCGGTTCTCGTCTCATCGGAGCGTTGCATCAATCAACTATAAAACAGTTCAATCGATCTAGGGATTAAATCAGTTGAAACCCCTTCGTCTATTCCTTTAAACATCGAGCATAGAAAAGTAAGAAAAAGAAAAGTATAGAAAAATGGTTGATTAAAGGAGGGAGGCGGTGAAGATTGCTTCCATGGGTAATGGGTGACTTGAAGCAACACCAAAAACAAAGTGGTTAATCGATCATAATATTGTTTTGTTGGAAGGCATTGGCGTCTAAGAAAGTGATAGAAAGAAGCGAAAGTGAAGACGAAATTCGAAGTAATCCGGTGAGAAAGGTTGTGGTAGTGTAAACTGGACTGGAGGTAATGGAGATGAGCATATTTATCTTCTGCCATGTAATGGTTTGTTGTCAGAAACTATTGTGAGGTATTGTGAGGAGGTGCAAAGTTTAAAATGTGGCTACTAAGGGACAAAAACTGTCAAAATGTTAAATTTTCCGTGACAAAAGTTTTAAGGAACCAAAATACATTGTTCCTAAGATATATATATATATATATATATATATATATATATATATATATATATATATATATATATATATATATATATATATAATCATGAATATTATGCAATGTAAATAAATAAAATATGTCTTCAAAATCTTTTTTATAAAAGTATCTACATGTTAAAACTATTTACTTTGTTGATTTTCCTTATAAAATAAATTTATATAAACTTCATATTTTATTAAATATCAAACGAACATTTTAGGTTGCGGATAAATAAAATTTTATAGTAGAATTTATATAAGTATGTTATCAAAAATAAGGTTATATAAGGTCATTTATTTTGGGACATTTTTATTTTTAAACCCAACCTTTTTTTCCATACGATGCATGGACATTCACTGATTATCACATACTAGGCGAATCCCCGCGTGTTGCGCGAGAATAGAATTATATAGTTAAAATAATAACTTTTACCAAATTATTATTTAATATTTCTACTTTGAAAAAAAATGTTAGTAGTAAAACAAACATATAGCTAACATATTAGTTTTATTAAACATTATAGTTTAATTTTTAAGTCATTGTGATATATACAATTATTTGATAATTTTATAAACCATTTAAAATTGTGTAAATTATATATCAAATGAATCATAATATAACGGGTAACAAAACGTATAAACAAAAATATGAACTGCAACTTTTAGTAACATAAAAATAGAAAAACATCTATTATAACATTTGTATTAAAAAAGATATATATACAAAGAATAATAAAAAATATGAAAAATAAACACTATAACTTTTAATAACATAAAAACCCTAAAACATCTATTATAACATTTATATTAATTCTTCATATTTAAATCACAAATCTCTTCAAATACATTAATGTTTTTAATGAGCAAAACTTTACAACCTTATAAAAGAAAAGAAAATAAAAAATTATTAGTGATTACTAATTAATAATCATAAGTTAAAAACTCTTGAGTTGTAACTAATAAATATACATAAATTAGAAACTTTTGAGTTGTATTGTGAGTTTCAAATGAATGCGGTACTTGGAAATGTATATTTATTATTATTATTATTATTATTATTATTATTATTATTATTATTATTATTATTATATTCGTCTAAATAATTGGTTTTGATACATCATTTTAATCCCTTCAATTATTAAACATAAAGATATTTAATTATAAATTTATAACATACATAGGTGCATATACATGTTAAACAAATAACATAATATATATATATATATATATATATATATATATATATATATATATATATATATATATATATATATATATATATATATATTCGTAAATGTCATATGTAATTATTGTTGTAGTAATATGGATAAATTACTTTTATATGAAGAACATATCATAATAAGTCTATCATAATTACATATCAAATGTTCAAAATTATGTTATCTTTTAAATATTGTCTTTTAAATATGTTGTGTAGGATAACCCAACAAAAAAATAATAGAAAATAAACATAATCAAAATAGAAAAACTACAATCAAATAAATAAGAGCATTGAGTGGTTGAATATATAAATAAAGATGTTACATAAACATACATAAATCAAAAGAAAAAACTAACATTCGTCAAATTTGCTCAAACAAAAAAACATATATCCATTTTATAAATCTTCTTTCTTCATTTAACACCATTCAACCATAGAAACTTGATGACAATTCTTCACTAACCTGCATTCAAAATATTTTTCTTGAAAAAGAAGAATCAGAAAGATATTCCAAGCAAAACATTGATTTTTAGAGAGTCACATTCAAGATTGAGTAATACACACAAATCACATAGAAAGATTAAATTAGAAACTGAATATAAAGAAAGAATAGAAAGGTTCCATTTGTTTTTGTTGAAAGAAAAAATTATATTACAATTACCATCGATGCGACATAACCCATTTCTTCAAATCATCATATTTGGATCGTGAATGCTTCAACTATATGAAAACTTTTGAATCACAATATATTCAAATCCTTTTTAAATGTAAGATTTTATATAACACAAAAGACACAAAAGATTGACATTTTTATAGTAAACTTTTCACTAAATGCTAATTAAACATAATATAAGTTATAAACTTTTGAATGTTAAATCATAATTAAGAAAACTTTTGAGTTGCATTAGTTAAAAAATGGGGTTTCAAATGAATGTGGTTTGAGAAAGTTAAAAAAATGGATTTCAAATGTATGAGATTCAAAAAAAATGATAGCTTTATAAGTATGTATGATGTATGATTGCGTATTAAAACTCAAAGATATCAACTTATTCATCATTCAATTTACATTGCATAGAATAAATTACATCAATTTTCATATGTTTTTTTCACACTGTAATCTAAATTTAGAACCCTGATAATATTCTTTTATGAAATAGATACATAAAATATATCTTTTTTTATAAACTACAAGCATATAAAATATATCATTATTATCTGGATTTGAAGTTATCTTGGAAAGGCCATTTCTTTAACAAAAGAATAGAAATTAATAATGGGCTGGGGAATTGCACAAGTGAAATTACTTCCTTCAAGATGACAAGGTTGGGATACTTTGCTCATTCCTAAAGAAATTATTAGGATCAACGCTCGTCTTCACCATCGTTAACCTGTTGTAATTCGTCTCTTTGAAATACTTGTGCCCATAAATCATCCCTTCCGCGTAAGCATTCTTGCCATGGCTGTTGACACCAATGTCCAAATCCCTGTAGTTCAGAAATGCTGCCCTAGGATTCTTAGAAACAAATGGAGTCATGTAATCATACATCATCCTTGTGAAATTCACGTATCGTTTGGCTGCTTCAACGCCAAGTTCTTCCCAGTTTACTTCATATTGAATCTTCGCTATGTTTCCTGATCGATGCGGGAAAGGCTTTGCAAATTCCGAAATTTCACTCATTCTTCCACCATATGGGTTGAAATCCAACAGTTGGTTTTCAAGTTCTTTCATCTTTTCAAATATGAATTCGAATCCTTGTTTTGAAATAGGTTCTTTCACATAATCAGATTTGATCTTTAATGGGTTGAGTTTTTCACCTGTACGGCTTAGAAGAGCAGTAGTTGGAGTACCGATGGAGAAGTTTCTGTAGAAAAGCACAGACTCAATCCAACTCATTTCAATACAGTCCGACTTTTTCAACCCTAATTTTGGAAAATCCTTGTTCATGAGTGTAACAAGTGCTGCCGACTTTCCTAGGTACAATGTTGGAAATGTTGCACGAATAATCTTTTTCCCATTTCTGTTGTTTATGACGTCAAAAGTCATTCGAACGAAAACGTCATTATCGAGTTTATCGGCAACTTGTATCCACCGGTGGGCGATGGTGCTGAGGTTCTGCTGTGATGTTCTTTGGATGTTAAAGACTGTCACAACGGGAGGAACACGAACCAGTTTGATCTTGTATGCTAGAATCACACCAAAGCTGACACCACCACCACCTGTGATTGCCCAAAAAAGTTCTTCACCCATGGACTTCCGATTCAGAAGCTTGCCATTCACATCGGTTAACTGAGCATCAACAATATTATCGACGGCGAGGCCATATTTTCTCATCAAGTTACCATATCCTCCACCACTAAAATGGCCACCAACTCCAACAGTAGGGCAAATTCCAGCGGGAAAAGCATGCGTGTTGCTTTTCTCAGCAATTCGATAGTAGACTTCACCAAGAGTCGCACCAGCTTGGACCCATGCAGTTTCATCTTCAATACTTATATTTACGGAGCATAACTTGAACATGTCAACAACGAAGAAGGGTTGGTTTGAATTGGTCACATAGGAAAGCCCTTCATAATCATGGCCTCCGCTTCTGGTTTTCATTAGCAGGCGGTGTGTTTTGGCGCACACAATAGCTGCTTGAATGTGTGAAGGATGTAAGGCAGTGATGATTAGAATGGGTTTGGGAGTCGTGGATTCATTGAAGCGAAGGTTACGGATGTAAGCTTGAAAGACAGAGGGAAAAGAGGAGTTACGGGAGGTGTAAAGTTGTTCATTGATCGGAAAAGAAGGGTCGGCTCGGTTGTTTAGACATCGAGTGAAGCGATATGTAATGGAACTGGAAGTTGCTGAGGATTGGGAAGAGAGCAAGACAAGGAGGAATGAAAAAATGAGGTTGAAAAAAGAGATGATTGCCATTTGTTGTGATATGGTATGCATGGTTTGAGGTTGATACATGCAATTAATTTATATACATAAACCAAAGTCATCTTTCCAATCGGGCGGGCCATCATAAATGTTCAATTAAACCTACAACCAAACTGATCAATTAATTAAGTCTTCAATTTTTGGAATTTGAGTTTAATGAAAACATGATTTCTTATATCGATTCAAAAGTTGTGGGTTAGAATCAAACAGTATATTGATATTAATTATACTATAATTAAATGTAAAATCATTTTCATTTTCATTAATCGTCTTATGATAATTTAATACATCATTTAATACTTCGAAAATTAGCAAGTTTGATGGCCTAATTTAAACAACATTATTACTATTTGTTGCAACGGCGGATCCAAATCAAAGTAAAGGGGTATCGCCGACTAGTAAAGGGGTATCCAAAAAAAAAAAAAATCGCATAATACACAATAAGAAAAAAAATTCCGGAAAAAATTACATTACTAAAAGTTTTTTGAGGGGTATCCCGGGCTACCCCGGGATATATACTAGATCCGCCTATGATTTGTTGTATTTTATTTTATTTTGTTTAAATGGAAACGTATGTACATTTAAATTATCTTATTTATTATTATTTTTTTAACAACACTTAGATCCTAATTTTAAACAATACTTTTATCCATCATGTATACTACTTGAACGTCCAACTCTGTAATATACACTACAAAAAATATGTCATGTAGTGGCATACAAAAAGTGCCACTAAAAACCTAAAAAATGCCACTAAAAACTTGTCATGGAATTAGCGTCACAAATAATAAATGCCACTAGAAACGCTCCCACTAAAACTCTTTAGTGACACTTTTTGCTTTTGTCACTGTAGTTTTTAGGCTTTTAGTGACACTTTTTGCTTTTGTCACTGTAGTTTTTAGGCTTTTAGTGACACTTTTATATTTGACACAATAAAAGAAAAGTTTTTTTGTGGCATATATTTTGTGCCACTGAATACTCATTTGATTAAAAAATTCATGTTACTTTTGGTTACATATTTTCAAATCTTAGTGGCACTTTTTTATGTGCCACAATACAAAACATTATTTTATGCAAATACACATTAGATTCTATAATTTAAACTACTTATATTTACATAGTTTTTATCTATAATCTAAAATAAATTAAATAATTTGATTGCAACACATGCATATTCTATTCCATAAGACTTAAACAAAGTACAATTTCTTTTTATTCCAATGTAATAAACCATTTCATTCCTTCCATGATTTCATCATAACAAAATGCTCGATATTTAATAATCATTTGTTTAACTTTGACTAAACCATAGTGGTCACTATCAAGCCCATATTTTGTAGCTTTTAAGTTCTATTCAGCTTCAACTTCTTCATTTGTTGTCTACCATTGAGTACGTATAAATCCATCTCATGTAAGTAAGAACAAAAAGGTGTTTAGAGTGTTGGGTAAAAATTGAATACAAATATGATTTTCTGATTATTTAAGGTTAAAAACTCAAAATAATCAGATTTGAATAGTTGCAAAATTACAAGTATCTTATTTTTGGAACAAAATATCTTATTGCCTCATAAATAAAGATCCAAACACTTGCACTACTAGAAAAACAGTCTCTTACGACGCGCAATGCGTGTCGTAAAACGCTCAGACGACGCACAAATGCGTGTCAAGGAAGGCCCTGTCATAAAGGAAGACGATGCGCTTTTGCTCATCGTCTATTTACGACGCGCTTTTGCGCGTTGTCTATTTACGACGCGCTTTTGCGCGTTGTCTATTTACGACGCGCAGTTATGACACGCAATGCGTATCAAGGAAGGCCTTGTCATAAAGGGAGACGACACACATTTGCGTATCGTAACCTTACGACGCGCGTGTTTATGACACGCAATGCGTATCAAGGAAGCCCATGTCATAAATGAAGATGACACGCATTTGTGTGTCATAAACTTCAGTAACCATTTATGATATGCATTTACGATGTCTTTACGATACTCATTTACGCATAATACAAAAATATGTAAACAAATATATACCAAAACAATCAATTTCATCCAATAACATCATGTCAAAAAATTGTAATACATTGATATTAAGGGGATCTAATTGTACATTGTTATTAAGAGGTTTAACCTTCCAAACTGAAGGTGAGTCACGGAATCCTTTTCCCAACGACTTTCAACAATGAAGGTGAAAACACTGTGTGACCGGTTGCTCTCGCTGTTCATATCTGTTCCTGCCACTTTCCTGTTTGCAGCACCCTGATAAAGTAGGCAAACTAATTTTAAATCTGATATAATCATAATTAAGCAGTAACAAAGTGTAAAATTTCACTATATTGACACACCTGCAATAGAAGCTTGAGGACTTCATAAACGTTTTTAACATTATATTTTGTAAGATTTTCAACAAAAATCAATAACTTAATAGTTTCAATCCATACTACAATGTTTACTTTAACACTTTTTTTGCTAATTTCTTCAAGGCTTATATAAATTTACTTATTATTAAATTACATAAGAATTATTTATGATTGCTGTTCAAAATAACCCCTTGTAGAAGAACCCACTTCAGATCGCATCCTCCACTTGATATCCCAATTCCTTATTAAACTATTAAGATTCATATCTGTAACATTTTTTTATATAAAGATTTAACAGTTTAAAGTTCAAAAAAAATGTGATTAGCTTAAATAGTTAGCAACTCTGCAGTAACAGATATGTTGAGTCAGAAGAAAAAAATCAGAGATATCCAAGAATTTAAGATCAGACATGTTGTCTATGTCGCTCTTTAGTAACAAAATGTTAAGTAAAGTGCTTAAAAATGTGAGCTTGCTGCATCGGGTATGGCCCGCGTCATCAGGTTTCAAATGGGTTGTTACTTTCTTTTTCTTTTTTCCATGTGGGGTACCAGTTAATGGACTTGACTTTTCCAAAACGTAATCAAGCATGTGTTGTACCATTGATGTGGAAACCTGTATATAGCTTAGTAATTCAGATCTGACCCAAGATGGATGTACATGATTCTTGAAATAAAATTAAGCTCCATGATTCCTGAGATGAAACCTAATCATTTTGAAATTCCAAACCAGCTGTAGACTTTGCTGCAGCTATAATACTAATGTTACCTTATTACATCATTATAAAGTTTTATTACAACTTTCAAATTTTTCTACATTAAATGAAGAATTCAATCTGTTGTTTTAATGTTGACACTTGAGAGTATGTCTAAGCTCCCTATTTTGAGGACATCAGTACAGAGAGTCTAATGAAATAATTGATGCAAAGATGTATTGCAACAACCTTTATATTCTCAGAGTTGTACTCCATCTCTAACATCATACTCTCAGTATTGCCCTAATTGGAATAGGAGAAGGGGCAAAATTCTCCCATGGAGAATCAGAGCGACCCATAGGAGTATTGTCACCATAACAAGGAGAAGGTAATCGTGCATCAGATGAAGCACAAAGTAACATTGGTGATGGTGAAGGTATGGAAATAAAACAGAAAAAAAACAGAAACCCTAACCGACCTTGGCCGTTGAGATGATGGGGGAGCTTTTCCCTTGACGCAACACCCTCCATGGTATCAAGCTCAATCTCTGCAGCCCTACGATTTTCCATAATCTGATCCAAATCTCTCTCGTCCTCCAGAGAATCGTCCAACCTAACCGACATTCATAGCCATTTCTGTTGATTTCCAACTCGAAATCATAAATTATGTTTCGACAAAAGTGTCGAATTTGACATGAGTGTGGGGAGGTTTCAAGAAGAACGGAGCAAAAGCAACAACGCAAAAGATAACATTAGGTATCAAGGGCTAATCGAGTTCGATTAAAAAGGTTATAAAACTCTTAATAAAGGAAGAGAAACCTCTGGAACAAATAAAGAAGCAGAATGTTGATGGTGATTGACCATGGAGTTTCGAGACCTTGACTGTAATGGAGCTGTTGTTCTACTTGATATGGAAATCACTCTAAATTTGTAGTTGTGATACAACTCTTCTATTGATTGAGAGGCTGAGAAAGTACTTGAGGAACTGAAGATCGAGAGAAGTAGATGGAGGGTTTATGAACCGAAACCCTAGTTCCAACAATAGTCGTGGTTCCAGCAATTGTACCCCTTTGATTTCAATTTCATGGCCCGGTGACCAAAAAACCTTCGATTTCACTAAGAACCGGAACCCTAGTTCCAACAATAGTCGATTTTTTGTATTTGATTGAGAGAGAGAGAGAGAGAGAGAGAAGAACGATTGAAAGAAGGTAGAGGAGAGCATGGCGGCTTTTCAAACTTTTGGAATTTCATTTCCCCGCGAGCTCTAAAACGCGTGTTTATGAAAAAAATATATATATAAAGCGACGTGCGCACACGTCACACATTTTATCATATGCGCCCTCCGTGTTTTTTTTAGACACGAATTTTAGGGCACGCACAAATGCGTGTCCTCTATCCTTCAAATTTTATAAGAGATGACATTATTTTTAGGAAGCACGCTTTTGCGTATCGTAAATCACCACGTGTCATTGTTTGCGCGTCATTAAAGGCAGTTTTTATAGTAGTGTTGTTTAATAGCAATAAAGATACATAATCAAAAGTGGGATTAATTACCTGAAGGAGACATACACTTGAATGCAAAAAGTGTATGATAACATATGTATTTTTATAAGAGGGAAGACCATTGAGCTCAAAGATGTTTAACAGATCAAAAAACTGCATTCACAAAAGAAATTTTTACAGAATAATCAAGTTCTTGACATCAAGAAAAGAGAAAAAGTTCAAAATAACATAAGCCAATGATTACTTTCTTTATCATTTTAATTGTATAATCATTAGGTACCTGAGATAGGACTTTTGCACACTCTGTCACGGTTGACAATTCTCCTTTCTGATATGCAGTATCAAATCTAGATAACAATTTTTCTCCAATTATGTACAAACATTCACCATGATCAAATTCAAGGTAGACTTATACATGGTGAAAAAGTGAATTATAATGCATATACCATTAAAGTACATTTGAAGGTTACCAACAGCAACCTCCAGTCCTCTACTAACAGATTGCATAGTCGTACCCTCTCTTCCAATATCTTCATCTGCAAATAAACTTGAAATTAACAAATAAAGTTTAAAAAGAAGTGTTGTATAGACAAAGATTATTTATTTTTTGGACTGAATGAACTGTTTGAATATGAAAAAATGACCATTATACCCTTATGTATAGACAAAGATTGTTTCTTTTTTGAACAGAATGAACCGTTTATGAGCTGTCTGACTTAGGGGCGTCTTCCATTCCCAAGTTGTTTCATTATTGCCTTTGGGTTTAGATGAAACAACATTTGAGCTGCATAACAAAAGCATGGCTTTTATCTGTCAAAACAAAAGATAAAGGAAATAAATATTTCAGCACTAACATAGTCAAATTCATATGACCTTCTTTAAAGTTTAAATCACACCTCTTTCAATTGTTCTAGGGATAAAATAACAAACATGTTGCTTTTCACATTAGTTAGCACCCTGTAAAAAAGATTTAAAAAAATGATATGAAAATCATGTCATATAGCAATAAGGCATCATGGCATTTAGATTTTGAATGGAATGATAAAGACCTTGATATTGGGTGTCCACTCTATTCCTTATATGTTTGGCTCATGAATCTACACACCTGCAATCAACTACTTCTTAGCCTCTTGAAGAATAATACTAGAATATCAAGTGTTTTGAAACAAAATGCAATCCAACTAATTAAACGGTAATTTGTGATATCTTACTGAAGTAACAAGCTGAATAACATTGACAACCTCCATCTAATGTCTTTAAATTGTATGTATAATTGCACATTTTTTTTGACAAAATTCTATCCATATATAATATTTTAAACAAGTCTAAGTCTTAAGGATATGGACTAGTCTTACCTACCAATTAAGACACTGATTTAAATAGGAATAGAAGTTATACCTTTTAACAGGTGTTCCCTTAGGCTCTATTTCAGTCATCTCTTATAGTCGGAAAAACATGTACATGCAGCTAAAGATCAAATTGGAAGCCATCAGCCTCAACGTGATCTTCTCTTCTTTGCAGAACAACATGTCACAGTTATTCCATTCAATATCATGGAGCTACATATCTCATTTTGATGTAATGATATTAGAGAGAATAAACAAAACAGAACCATGAGACTCAACAGGAACCATCGCATAAAACATAAGGATGTCATCACCGTTTCATCTACCCTGTAATCAACATGAAATGAGATCACACCTTTGTTGTTATTGTTGCTAGAAATCGACATAAAGAACAAGAAACAACAATTACGAGATCATATAAAATGCTTTCGACCTCTCCATACCTAGCCGAAAACTCCATATCTCGTCGGAGATGTATGGATAGAAGCGGACATCAACTCCAAACCTCTCGGTGAGTTTGAAACCTCTCGGTGAGTTTGAATCCATTACGTTACTTCACCATAAAGCTCAAAATTAGACCTCTCCTTTGAATCCTTACGATCTCACTCATGAATCATCGAAAAAATAGAAGCGGAAAGATATCAGGTGGTTGATTGGAAAGAGCGAATGTGTTGGTTAATCGGAAAGAGACAAGGTCGACAGTGGATGACCGAAAACAGGAAAAGAAACGGCAGCGATTAATCAGAAATAGTCAAGGCGGTGGTTGTGGGGAGTGATTTAGGGTTCTTCATTTTGTTTAGGAGGGGGGAGGGGTGGGTGAAGATATTAGGTTAGAAGAGAAGATGTAGGTAGGGTAGGTGAGAATGGAGATGTGTTGGGGGGTGGGGTGGGATAATGGGGTCGATGATATTTTTAAGAGTAAAATGTTTTTTTCTTTTATAATTTTTTAATCAGATGATAATAGAAAAAGAGTATATATGTCATTTAGGTATGATAAAGACTAAACAAAAGCAAACGATCCGAGATAAAAAAACTGAGTTAAAGGACTATGTATATTATTTGAAACCACATTTATGTAATTTACCTTATTTAATATAGCAAACTTTTAGTGGCATATTTAAATATTATGTCACTAATAATTATTAATATTAGTGACATAAATTGTTAAATGTCATTAAATCCATTAATGTTTATAATGGCATTTGGAATATGCCATTAAAAGCATGGTATAGTGGCACATCATACATATGCCATTAAAAATGTATGCCACTAAATGACATTTTATTTGTACTGATAGTAACACCTTTACAAAAATCTTCACTTTTTGGTCAATGACCTTTGAATGATATTTCCATTTAAGTAATTTCTCTTTCATACTTCCTAAATATGGTTAAAGAGTAAGATGTTTATTGTTTCATATGAAAATGATTTGCACTCTTCGGAACACATCTGCAGACCTATCTTGTGTTCGATTATACAAATATTTTAGGTAGTTATCTTAATATATGGGATAAAAATGCTATATTTAAGAATAAAATATGCTTAAAATGCTTTGAAATGAATAAATATATATAAATTTCTAGCTTGGAATAAAAGAAAGAGATTGGATCTTATTTAAGCTGATAAGGACAAAAAGCGAGAAACTACCCAGAATCTCGTGAAGTCGCGCTACGCCTGGCTATATGACATGTCGTTCCCAAATGTGGTGTTCGATTACAATACAAATTGTCGATCCCACGAGGCGATATTGTATTTACCGCGGGCGAAATCGCAGAAATCTATAAATATCCAAGATTTTAAACCCTAATTTGTTGTGCACCCTTTGACCGATCGGTATGGGTCAAAACGAGACACAACGCGGCTTACGTGGCACACCACAACGCCGTCTTAACAGGGGGAACACCGCCCCCCCCCCCCCCCCAACTCGTTGCATCTCGTCCTTCAGTTCTCGTGGCCATCGAAACGAAGTGAAACACGGAAAAACTTACCGTTGTGGCTTATGACTGTTTGCAAACAGTTTGCATTCAAACAAAAAAAAATTACGTTTTTACCTATATATATATATATATATATATATATATATATATATATATATATATATATATACACACACACGCACACACATATATACTCATTTTATTTCAAATTTTACATCTTTTTTAACATTCTCTCTATACTTTTATAAACTTTCTTACTCAAAAAATGGAGCAAAACCCAAACACCCCCTCTCCTTCATCAAACCCAAGCACAACCTCGCCTCTCAGATTCGCGGGTTATGAAAATTATTTCAACCTTTTTATCGTCTCAACGCTCACCACAAATCCCATACCAAGGCGCCGCTTTAAATCCCGCTTCACCGCCACTGCAGTTTCCCAACTCACCTTTCATTCAAAAAAATTTATTTGGTCACAACCCAAATTTACAACAAAATCTTTTCCCTACTTTTTCTTCGACGCAACAAACAACCAACCAAACATCGCCTACAACACAACAATCGGTTGAAGTGGCAGCGAGAGGTAGTAGGAGAGGGAAAGGGAAAGGAAAATCGATAGCGTTGAAACAGAAAATGCAGACGTTCCACAATGATGGACACCGAATGAGGAATATGCTTTGACGGCGGCTTGGTGTGCTACTTCAAAAAACAAACTTCGAGGAAATGGAATGAAAAAATGAGCTTATTGGGAGGCGGTGCTCGACAAGTTTCATGCTTTTTTGAAGAAAAATCCGTATCGCAACAATGACATGTTAAGCAGCAAATGGGGTCAAATAACTAAG